CAAATTAGTATATACCAATATGTACTACAAAGATAAGAGAAATTATGTTTACAATTTCACTTTTGGGGGTTTTTGTGACGATTTTATTGTTATATCATATTAGGTTATCCTCGCTCATGTGTTGCGTTGACTTGCAGAATGCCGCGAGTGCGGCGACGCATTCAGTGTGAATACGAACGACGCTATTCTTAAATTTACCTCGCGTCGCGTCGTGACGCGACGGAAGACGCGACGCGTGACGCGCTCAGTGGGAACGCACCCTAACGACTGTGAGAGATTTGTGACGACAGTAACGACTGTTAAAGCGAGCTCTAAGAGTCCGAACAAATCTATAGTAAGTGTACACACTATTTCAGAAACCAGAGATCCCAGTAACGAAGTGGAAAGGACAAACGAGGGACAGCCTGCAACTCTCAGCAACGACGATTTAAGTGAAAAATACAAAGCACTACAAAATTTGATAGAGAAAACAATGAATATGCAACAAAGGGTGCGAGAAGATTTTGAGAGTCAAATTATGGCAAAGAAACCAAGAATAACATCCGTGGAGATCTTGCCTCCTCGCGCTCGCATCTTGAGTGACTCTGCAATGGCTCAAACTTCTTTATCGGACGTAAACGACGTTTCAAATAGAGTTTGCGGCAATAACGATCCATCTCGTGGAAATAATTCTAGTGAGAATCTCGCAAACCGAATTAAAGAAACGATTAAAGTCGAACTTTTTACTAAGGACATTGGCACTAAGCGAGATTACAAACTAGGCACGCGAGTTAAATTTGAGCACTTCTATGAGTTTCTCTCGTCCGAATTGCGTACTAACGACTTGCTATATGTGATTGACAAGTCTCAGAAACCACCGCAGAATTTGAGCGAGCAATTAAAAGAGAAACAGAAATTCAAAGTCAGAGATATTTTAATTAATCGATTAGAACAAACCTATCACTCTAAAATTTTGCATATTCAGGATCCCGTCGAGATGCTGGACAAATTAAGAGAATTTAAACGATGTGAAGTAAACGTAACCAGTCACAGTATTCGACAGCAACTCTACTCAATCAGATACAACCGTGATAAGGAAACCGCCCTACAGTTCTGGGATAAATTTGAAGAACTTATCCGTAATTACGAGAATCTTCCGGACACCGTTCCCTTAACCGAACAAGAAAAAAGAGACGCATTTTACGCAGCAATTGTAAACTCGGAACCGGAAGTACAATCGATAGAGTTCATGACACGAAGTCAAACTGGAATAAGCCTCACTTATGATGCTCTGAAAAGATTCATCATACAAGCCGAGGCTAATCGCGGACAGACAGCAAAAGACCATCCAAGTTCGAAGCCCGATGCTATCACGTCAGTGGCTTACGCAAGATCCAGGAATGAAGTCCGTTGCTTTGAGTGTGATGACCTCGGCCACATGAAAAGTGACTGCCCGAGAAAGGGTCAGGGTTTGCGAAAGTGCTATGAGTGTTACGAATTTACCACACATAAGGCTGCTGAGTGCCCGAAACGTCAGCAGGGACGACGAAATAAACTGAAACGCGGCGGAAGCCGTGGAAGACAAAGTGACAGATATGAGCGATACGACAAATCTTGGAACAAAAACTCATTTAAGGCGCAAGGAGGAAAACGTTTTAATGGAC